AGCCCTTCCATCCCTCCGGGGTCGGTTAATTGGTACCAGACTTGTCTGGGAGGATAAAAAACACTGACTTGTACATCGGCTGGCCCCCGCAAGTCATTGTATAGGCCACATCGCATTCAAACGCCACTACGAATGTACAAATGGAAGTAGAATGCGTGCCGCATCCCAAAAAGGGATTGATCAACGGCAAATGCTTTATCCTTTTATCCTTTTAATTTTGATGAGACTAGTGACGAATTTCAACTCTGTCAACATTTTCCCTCCATCTACCGGGCTATGAGGGAGAGACGTACAAAATATGCCCAAAGAAACGCAATGTTCTAAATGGTTTTGTTTATTTCACGCTTCTTTCCTGAAGTTTCTCCAAAATCGCCAAGAAAACGGTCTAAAATGACCCCTTTCCCACAAATGACCCCAAAACTTCCACAGGTACAACTTCTTTCCAGTTTAATTAACCCTCGCTTGAATCCCAAACATGACCCCTCCCGAAAATTGCAAACACAACTTCCCTCTAGCTCGTCCAGACGAACGGTTGACCCTGCCGCAGTAACCATTGACTCAGTGCTCCTCGACTTCGTGTGAACCTCATCAGTCCTACAGGAGTGTGCACCGGTCTCACAGACTGTGCCCACACGCTCAACGCACCTACTGCTTTCAAACTCTTCAAAGAGAACCCTGTGGCACATCTGCGAGCAAAGCCCTCCGAGATCACCATGACAGCTCCTAATCCTCATGTATCGAAAGAGAGTAACGATGATGAGTCTGGGCATTCTAGCTATGAAGTATCAAAATACGGCCACAGATCTCTTTGAGAACTCTCCCTTCACAGGTTCCACCAAACTATAATTCCAAAAGTTCTTCTGAGACAACAAACCGTTTTCGATCATCTTCCTGACTGGTGGTGGAGTGAGGCGAAGAATGAAAGCAGTCGACGGTAGTACGACAGCCACCGTCCCAGATTTCGCCATTGCTCGTATTCCTTCATCAGAGATTTCCTCCAAATGGGACATGGCACGAGCCTGAAACGTTTGCGAGTCATTTGAAGGCACAATTGCACGATATGGTTGATGGCGTTTCGATGTCGGTCCAAGTGTTGTCTCGCGACCGAAGCCGTAACAATTACCATCAATGCGCAACAGGATAATATCTAGCTGTGGTCGAATCTGTCCCAGCCCAAACATCATTACTATTGGCTGTAATCTCTTAGTTATATTGTCCCGTAAGGATATATAAATATAATAAACTATATAACAGTAGCGGTCAAAAGTTTGGGAAACTGGATTTTTATGCTACGCGGCCGATACACAACGAAATTGTCCCAAATTCAGATATTCCATACACAAAATCGATTCAGCGAATACGACGGTAAAGAAAATTTCCAAAAACCTATAATCATGTTTGAGAAATAAGATTTTTTTCAAGTAATGGCGCTTCAAAAGTTTGGAAACTTCTTTCGCCCTATCAGTATATCCTCTCTTCATGTTTAATGTTTCTGTTAATTTAGTTAAACCATTGAGCAATGTGTAATTTCAAAATGAATTCATATGCAAAGAAAGCAGTTTTTCCATGGGGGTCCTTTTTTAAACCCTACAATCCGGAATACGAAATTGAAACTGATTCTTAGTAGTTCAGTCTCTACGGAAGCAATATTATCGGATGTTTCTAGCGTTATTAGAGTCGAGTAAGCATAAGAAGAATGATCATTCACAAAAAAGTATCTTCACAAGAAAGTTGGTCCTCTTCAAATACTTCGAAAGGTGGTTGGCACGTCCCGTGCCCCCAACATTCCAACTAAGAGACCAACTTGGTTTTTTCCTAATCATATGAAAGTCCAAGTGCACGCCAACATCGGCCGCGACCTGGTGAATATTACGGATGATGTCCCAACAAGAAGCCGTTGTTGGGCTTCAAGGGCAGGATGGCCCAACTGGCTTCCGCACTCTAACGGCTAACATGAACCGGAGCCAAGAGGTGAAACTTTGTCCTCAGCGACGAATGAGATTTCTATCTTCCTAGAAATATATAGTGGACCCTGTGAAGTGTTTTGTCAAATGGGAACCTCATTTTGAGTATGAGATTCCAACAGTCAGAAATAGTGGAAGTACTGTCATGGATGAACATGTGTCCGACCATTCGGCGATTCCACAGTTCTAGGTATCCAGCGAAATGTGGGTTGGGCTAAGTACAAGTATAGTCTGTAGAATACAATGCTCCCTTCGATAGTCAGAACTAGCCGGAAAAGATGGGTTTTCTATTACGGAAATAACCCGATGCAGGCCTACCTCCCCACTGCCGCCTTCCTCAACCCAGAAAAAGGAGCTGCTATGAAGCGACCAAGTCAAGATCTGAAGTCTAATTGAGTTCTACATCTCACGGAAAAAGTGGCATGTCGCTCTACCCACGTTCCAGTTAAGAATCCCACCAAACAATGTGCTTTAGTTCACAGTGTATGAGGTCCGACTTAAAAATCCTAAAATTATTTTATAATCAATACCATGTCAATAAAAACGACGCTAAGATAGAAATTCAAAGCTACTCATCAAATAACTAATTTATCATGTGGATTTGAGAGCTATTTTGCCGAATTCGCTTTAGAATTCGGAAGTTTCCAAACTTTTGACGCGCCATTTCCTATAAAAATTCGTATTTTTCAAATGCGATTTCAGTTTTCAAAAAATCATGTTACCCATCGTAATCTACACTAGATTCTGAATATAATGTGAATTCGGGAGCAATTTCATTGTCTATTGGCTACGCTAGATCAAAAATAAAAAAGTTTCAAATTTTGCCCGCTACTGTGATAGTAATAATTAGATCACCAATCAACGACTGAAGACACCCAATGCAGTACAAGCAATTCTAACTTCCCGGCTAGTTTTTCGATCAACAAGAAAGGCTAAAATACTCTCCCAATGGGCGGTAACTTTTTTTGAGTGAAGTGAAAACCATTATTGGTGCATCTGGAAATTTCGACAAAAGTGAGTGTGGTGCCGCTGACTCACATCCAGATAAGCCATGCATCCGATTCGAATGAAAAATAAACTATTGTTTTGTTCGTTTCCGAAACTCTGATTAACCTCCACTAAATAATAATATAGGCAACAATAAAGAATAAAGAATAAAACCTTGATCAGTCCCACTTCGAGATGGCAAAACACTCATCAAAGTAGAGGAGCACTTTGCGAAAAACATATAAAGATTCATGCGACCCTTCCCTCAGCAGATGGGTGAAGGAAGTCGCTCTGAATTTTCTTCACCCATCGTTGTGATTCATCGGATACCTCCAAAGTTTTATTTCGCTCTCTGCCAACCCTGAACGTTGGCTTCTTTTTTTAGGCAATGTTTGAGCGACAAGCATGTTATGGTAATTTTGCCCACGCACCTCTCGTAGAGAAAAGAAACAAGACCTGTAGAGACCGACAAACCTATAGCCCAGCAATCAAGTAAGTGACCTGTATTCTAGAGAGCCTTTATGCTTCACATAACCCGCAACATACCCCGATCTCGGCTCCCATCTCCGCACCACCGATGCATGACAATTCTTCAGCATGGAAATTCGCTGCCAAACCCAGTTTCTTGCCGGCTTCCAGAATTTTCCGCCTGAAAATCGAGAATGTACATTGCTACTGCAGCATACTGAAATACTACTAGTAAAGAAGCCCGAAAAGGACGAAAAATGCAGGAGCATACTAACTTACTACCAGTCAAGAGGCCCAAAAAGAACGAAAATGCAGGGGCACTAACGTGTTTTCTACTTCGATGACGTTCTTCTCGCAGAAAACGTCGATGTTCTCGAGCGTTTTCAGATCACCTGCTTCCCGCGCCTTTGCGATTGCTGGCAGCATCTCGTCACAAATCAGCTTCACATGGCTTTCTTCCGTTGAGCCCTTAAAAAGCTTCTTATAAAAGCAACTCCGTGAGAAATGGAAATCTGTCAAGTTTCAGGAGGCACGCGCGATTACATGGGTACATCCGCTACGAGACGAGTTTTCTCATTTCCCCAGCGCAGAGTATTTATTTAAGGAGACATGCGCATATTTTTGGCATTGCGGAGCTTGTTCAAGGGCAGCCACTGAGGCACCCAGCAAAACTGGCTGTTTTCAAAAGGCACAGTAGGAGCAGAGAGGGATCAAGCGTTTTGCAAGATATGGCACTGTGGTGGCAATGCATTTGAATTGCGTAGAGTATGCCGTTTTTGTAAAAAAAAAGGACCGAGCCTCAGTCGAGGGAGGAAAGACCCAGGGTGTGGGAGCCATTTTCATTTTCCCGGACCCCTGCCCCCTCCCAGGATTAGTTATAGAGGATGCCCCGTACACTGTGATAGCGCCAGGGATCACTTCACTTATCTTTCCTCGTGAAAGTTATGTTTCCTTCAAGGGAAGATATCGGAGACTATAAAGATCGAAATCGATCTGCTTGCACTCAAATGGCGCAATGGCTGTAACTGTCGAGTATCTGAGTTCCCCAAGCCACCAACCGCTTTACAATCGACTTATTGCACCAAATTTGTCCTGAACCACCAAGGCACTTGCTTGCAGTTGAGCCTGGCCAATGTCGAAAAACTGTTCAAGATAGATACGCAACCCGTTGCTTTTGTGGCGATTACGAACGGAAGAGTCGGGAGCACGGCGCAATCCAGACGAACCGCTTTCCATCAACTCTAGCCATTTAGCAGAGAGCGTTAGCGCATGTCTTATATGAATGTTTCAATCAAAGAATTATGGCTTTATTTTGTGTAAAAGCATAAGACCTTTTGGACCTTATTATTGCTTCTTGACATGACCCGCCTAATTAAAGAGGATTCCACGATAACGTCACAGGTCGAAGAAAGGAAAACTTACCTAGTGCAGAGACAGGCAGGCCCTCTAAGGGTGCGGATCAACACGCAAAGGGCATGTTATAGGCGATTTAGCATGGCTCTCTCCGCGGCGCTATCGGCGCGGCACGCCCACCGACTGGCTAACCACTCGCCGCAGGTCTCTAGCCGTTTAGCAGAGAGAGCGTTAGCGTTGAAGAGGGCAGCACCGATGAGAGTCGCATCAATGCGGAAATCAACGGGAAAGAAGGGTCCCATTTCTCGGTTCTGGGCGTTTTCACGGGTTTTTTTTCTATCCCGACACCTCAACCTTTATTCTGATAGTTGCCTTCTACTCGTAAGCTCCGCATTCAATTCACATACAGAACATTTTCGTGGAGGGTTATTTCAAAACTGGTTGTACGTTTTAGGTGAAACTGTCGGGTGGTAAGCGGCGGCGAACACGGTGGATGCATGCCGCCAGTTTCAGGTTTCAAGGCTTGGATCGAGCTAACACTAAGCTGGGCCAGCGAAGTTTTCCATCCAGAGTCAACCGTCCGCTGACAAAAGAGATTGGCTTTTTGAAAAGAATCAGCAAAGGGCACTTTTGAGAAAATGGAAAAAAATTTTGGAAGCTTTTCAGGAATTTTGCCGTTTCAAAAGTTATACATAAGAAGGATCCATGATAAGAACACTGCTGGGACTTTTGCTCCAATCATGTCCTCAAGGAGAAGAAAATGAGGGGAATCCTGAGTATGATGAAGGGGGTTGTTTCTCGACTGACGAAGATTCGTTGGAGTTCCCCCGCAGAAATGGTGAAATATGCGGAAATGTGGAAAATTCGCAGTGTAGAAGCTGTGTTTGTACTCGACTCTACCCCGAAACCTGTGGAAACTTTGAGGACAGAGCTGGAGTGTGTCATATGGTGACAGGATCAAGTACTATGGAAACAGTGATGGTGATGGAGGTGGGAGGAGAGGAGGGGAGGGGGAAGGTGGGGGATCTTTGAAGGGAGGTAGTAGCGGGATTTTGTATGAAGGAGTCTCTCGAGTAGGGCCTCCGATTTCAAAAATTGCCCAAACGTGCGCTGTCACGCTGCGCGCAACTACTGTTTGGCCAAATCGCATTCAAATGTTCAAATGCTACCGCAACCCTGAATGGAAGCAAAGTGTGCGGCGCTTCTTCAAAAGGATTGATCAGCGCCAAATCTTCAAACTTCAAACCAGCAACATTTTCTTTTTGGATCTTATTGCCTAGAAATGGGTTTTCGAGCACCTTTTTCTTCAAAGGTGACCGCGGAACATTTTAAAGATCACTCTTGGAAATTGTCGAACCTTTGGTACAGCATGACCACCGCAGAACGTAGCCGATATCTCCAGCTGAGTGTTGTCGCTGACACGATCCAGCACCCTCAACATCTGAAAGCAGTATACATCTCTGGAATTTGAAAGCCAAGTTCTGGATGTTCCAAGTCATCTTTGTTGCTCTCCCTTCTTATAGGAGCAGCTTTTAATAACGAAGTTTTGTTACAAACGAACTTTTGTTAATTCAAGTGATACGAGTGAAACAAATTGATCTATCCATCGCATCTTTGCTGAGCGAAAGGATGATAAGGTCGGAGTTGGAAGACGGGGAGTTATACATAACCTCTCGCAATCAGACTCTACAGCTTCAGCAAATGCGGAGAGCAGATCGATGAATAGCACAGATGGGACTCGCTGCCAGGGTGAATAACGGTCGAGGAATTCCTCGACCATCGCTCTCTGCTGTGCGAGAGTAGAGCCGATAGTGAATGTACGCGCGGAGAGCACAGACGGCTCGCGGGTGGCGAGAGTGAATATCCGCGCGCGAGAACGTAAAGGATCAGGCGAAAATCCTCGACGTGCCGTTGAGGAATCCTCAAGCAATATTCACCCTGCTCGCTCCCATCCCAAAATCAGCGGGCCAAGGGGTCACGTACTGTAGGTTTTAGCCCGTTGGCTTCTTGGCTTTTTTGTCATCCGTGTAGTGTTGACCACCTTTACCATGGTTTCTAATGGGCCGTTTTTCCATCGAGAAGTCGCCTTTGGACAGCGCCTTCTCGGGGCTATTTTATCAGCCATTCATTCTAGATAACGACCAGTTAGTCAATAAGTAACTGTGAAAAAACTACCAAGACATCGTGAGGAGGACTCCTATTTAACGAAACAATTGTAGAACGGCGATTTTATGGATGGGTGTGGTTTGAGCTTTCTCTGGGGGAGGGGAGGGGGGAGCGTTTGTGTAGAGACATCGTGATTTGGCAAAGAATTTCTCATGTTGGTACTCGATGGAAGCGAAAATCGTATGCAGGAGGCCGTTTTTGAAAATTTCAGCGGTTCACTCATTTCGAACAACAAATTGTTGAATAATTTCTTTATGCAGTGATTATTTCCTCCACGCCTACCTAGTCGGATGTATTGTACGTAATGTTAGCCGACTGGGCGGTACAGCCTGGGGGACATCTAAAACAGGGTGTTTGAAAACAAGTGACAAGTCAAACTAGGACTGAGCCCAGGAAAGGGGAAGCGAACGAAAATTGTCACATTCTCCCCGATACCCCGTCCCTACCTAAGGCTTCGTCCTAAGTTCTGTAAGTGAGACTATGGGGCGTTACAAAATTTATAGACCGCGTCTTCAAAAAAAAACTCGAACCCTACTAACTCGAATCATGGTGTTTCAAGCGTAAAACTACCTTCAGTTCGCTTTCCGTATTCAGTCCGTACCCACTCTTGGCCTCCAATGTTGTGGTTCCATTTCGAAGCATTTCATGAGCTATCTGAAATCAAAACATCCTTCTAGCGCTTTTACCACAAAAAGGCTTACAAGTAGCTCGCTGGAGAAAGGTGCTCATTTTCTACCTCTGCTGCATGAATTTATACTCGATATCGGTGAGTTGGGGTGGGCGTGTCACCGGAAGTGACGTGCACTTGATAGAAACTATGTGGATAAGCTGCTTCCAACATACATCGCTGGATATCAGCAAAGCATGCTGGCAACAGCTTATCCACGCAACTTCTATCAAGTGCACGTCACTTCCGGTGACACACCTACCCCAACTTTCGGATATCGACTGTACTTAGATGCAGGATAGCTTAGCTATTACTTAAATCTCTAGATAGATAAAACTTGATCTTCCTGGTATTTACAAACACTGAACATCGGCGTGCCGTTACACGCGTAGCATAGCTATGATCACCTTCAAATTTCTTTAAGTGGGATGAGCTATCGTCAAAGATTCCCGACAGGGAGCAGCTGCGTTTGGCTTTTTGGAGTAGGGGGGGGGGGGGTGTGGGAAAAGTCGTGTTGGGTGGAATTAATAGCGTACTCTTCAAAAGAGTGTAGGATTTAGTGAAGGTGTAGAGATGTTTTCAGAAGGGAGTTCCGACGCGAAAGTCGACATTTTTGGTGGAATTTTTATTGCAATGAATACCGTTCTCCTCTTCTCGACATACATTTTTCGATTCTGCGATCAGGTAGTTCCAGGTAAGATGAAAGAAAGATGAGAGTAGGATCAGAAAAAAGGAGGTGGATCGTGAAATCCCATCTAGGACTTGTTTGGTCATTCAGGCTTGCCCTAGGTCGTATCAGACAACATTCTCAGCACGCAGCTAACTCTGCCATGGAATCGAGTGCGTGGCGCATTTCACAGTGGTGGACCAACGCCCTGCACTTCACGCCCTGTCTTTTATCTTTTTATGTGTATTATGAACCATTTTCTTCATAAGTAGTGAAAATGTGCTCAGAAAAACTTAAGCACAAAAAGAGAAGTGAATCAGTGAAATAGATAGAGAAAATAAAGAAGAAGATGTAATGCAATTTCATACCTTCTCGAAATCCTCCACCAAACTCTCTTCCGTAGCTTCACGCGTTTTTTCCGTAGTGAAGTGGATTCCTCCGCCTGCGGCTTGTACCTGAAGTTTTCTTTTTCTTCTGTAAGCCACATTCAGATTAGTCCAAGATCGAGTTTCTCTTAATCTTGGCATGGAACTTTATGTGTACCCTGCTGGTGTACGGTTTTGTTGTAGCCAGTCCAAGATTACAGAGAAGATTATAAGCTCAGGAATATAGGCTGTATACCGTAACCCTCCCGACGTTGTAGTGGAGCGCGCAGTGTCACGTGTCACCGATTTTCCATGTGTGCTCGGCACCAGGGTGAATATTGCTTGAGGATTCCTCAACGGCACGTCGAGGATTTTCGCCTGATCCTTTACGTTCTCGCGCGCGGATATTCACTCTCGCCACCCGCGAGCCGTCTGTGCTCTCCGCGCGTACATTCACTATCGGCTCTACTCTCGCACAGCAGAGAGCGATGGTCGAGGAATTCCTCGACCGTTATTCACCCTGCTCGGCACCCACTTTTTCTCTGCGTTCTGAGAGAATGCGTCGAGCAAACTCGCCAACTATATCAAGCGCAGTTTATCAGGAACGCGGAGGATAGCACCCACGACAGTTTGGCCTCACGTACGATGAAGCGGCACGGGCAGGACCACCTCCCTTGCCCGCGCGCGCGGGTGCTAATGTGAGTTACGGTATACATCCTATGTTCCTAAACTTATGATCCTGTAGACTGCAGTAGCTTTTATGAGGCCTATGTTTCGGCCTCTTCGCTTTCGTCGGAGCCTGATGCTTTCTTAATGGAGTTTAAGTGCGCAACTTTTGCAGCCCATCCATGAGTTCCTTGATCCGTGTGCAAAGAGGGCGGCCCGCTTTATCAATGTATTCGCTGCCGCAGACGTGACAGCGGGAGATATATCGCTCCTACCTTCATGCAGTTACCGCTGTTCAAGGACTTTTTATCAGGCTCATGTCGACCTTTTCGCCTTCCTCACAGCCTGAAAAGTCAAAAAGCAAATGATCAAATCGAACAGCGGATCGGTCTAAGTTGCTTTTCGTCTTTTCAGGCCACGACGAAGGCGAAGAGACCGAAACGTAGCCTATTAAAAGATACTGAAATCTTGGATAGGCTCCAAAAAAATCGTACACAATCCGTTTCTATTCCTTACTGTGTAGCGCATGAACAAATGTAACTTTGTGTGAGCTCAGCTCCAACAGATTAAAAAATTGAGGGCTATTTTCAAGTAATCTCTGATTCGGTATCGAATTTTCTTTGAAATTTTCCTGCTCAGTTTGTGACATTGTGCAGATAAAGTATCCAACCTCCATATAAGTGGCTCCAGCCAACTTCATAGCGAATTCGTGGACCCGATCGCCGGCAAATACCGGATGAGAATGGCCGTCGACGAAACCGGGCAGTAGAATACCTGCACAATTTAGTTTTAATGCTTAGCACATTTTATTCTGGGTTTTCAAAATCAGGTTCCTACGGCCGCCTTTCTCTCACTCTTAAAGGAATCTTGCGCGGAAAATTCTTGCACTCTTTCCTAACATGAATATGTCAGTTGTGATCACTGGAAATAGCACACAAAGTTTCACGCATGAAGATTCGGTTTCTGAAGAGAAACAAACGTACACTACATACTACACGTTGGTTTGTGGCCAAATTTCTGAATCAAAGCAATGAAATTCTCATCGGCATATGGTGTCAGCTGAATGTCGGATTATCGCGTACATGGACGAGAATTAACTAAGGAACAATAAATAACGTAGAAAAGCGGGCGAGTAAGGACCCTAAGTGACATGTCTTACGACTGGAGCTATGCATTGACTGGAGCTGGAGGGCGACATTGAGCACCGGGCAATAACTTGCGATCGCTGGTGACGTAAGGGCGAAGAAGGTAAATTTTGAACCAGCAGTAGATGGTAGAAAAAAAATAAATAAAAGAGAATGCACACAGTGCCAAATGAAATTGTGAGAGCACAAAAAGCGCCGCACTTATCGTTAGAGCCACAAATGGACCACAGAGGTTTGAATCAGTGTCTGTAGCCACTGCGACCGCAGAAAAGGTCCACCACCACACCGCAATTTATGGGCAGAAATAAATAAATAAATCTGTAAATAAACAAATCAATTTCTAATGGGAGCCTTGCTCACCTCCCTGTGTGTTCAGCGAACCTTCGACCGGCTGCCCATTTTGTACCTTAAGAACCTGAAAACTCCTTTTTGAATTGTGCATCGTATGGATTACCGCCCGAGAACCATACGATATTCATGATAAATCGATATATCGATTTCTTGTGCTGCGCAAGATAAAATGTACGAACAAACACTATTGTATTACCTCTTCCACTTTGCCCACAGCAGCTATAGTTCCATCCATTGCAACCAGTACCGCCAGCCGACATTCAGGATCACTCAGCACCTGAGTAAATAATAAATTAAAGGTCAACAACAATTTTGAAGCAACTAATTGTTGAGAGCTCACCTTTATGCGGGCCATATCAGGGCCTTTGAGAAATTCAACATCACAGCGATCAGTAATTTGAACAATTTCCTTGAGCCCAGTGATTATAAAACGGTACATAGCTTACCTTAAATTGGAACTGATACTTTCTTGGCCCCGCTTCGACCTCTCAACCCTACGTTGTCTTTTTCAACATGTACTTTTGAAAAATTTGTCGATAAAGTTGGTTCGTAGTAAAGTGACCTAATGGAGTTTTACTTATCCAACTAACTTACTTAACAACTTGTGAAAAGCTGAACAAACAAGGCAAAGTATCTCATCATCGAAAAATTCGATGATTATCAATGAAAACCGGCCAGGGGGAAGAGAGAGTGGGTGGGAGTGGGAATTTAGCGGTGTTGCAGTGTTGCGGTCAGGTAAGAAGGTAATAAAGTCGTCCACATCGATCCGTGACGGCACTTAACGGCCGTCACGGTTCCATCAGGGCAACAGGCTGACTATTGATGGGAAGAATCTACTAGCCTCAAAAAGGTAGGAGAACTGGTGACCGGTGAAGGTAGCCATCGGTGTCGATCTCGCCGAACTCCTCAAAAGTGATCCCCTGCGGCAAAATTTCCCATCCAGAGGTTCGATGAAAAGTTAGGAAGAACATGGTTTCCACCATCATCCACTGCCCCTCCACCCTCGTTCTAATTGATCGTCATCGAATTTTTTCAAAAAACGGATACGTCGTATGTTCAATAATTCAGTGAAATACAAAAATTCTATAAAGTCGCAAATGTGCCAACAAACCGTCTCAGGCACGGAGGAACCCTAAACGAAGTCGAGGAGAGTGTCGCTTAACCATCGTGTTGAGCGAATTCCAAGAGCAGCAACAATCTTCTCGAAAGGAACCTTTGCACAGCCCTCTTTCCGGGACCTTCCCTAGCTTATCAACTTT